GTCAGTGGGTCCTTTGAGTTCAGATGTTTTAGCCTTTTGTTTGTGCTACGGACCCTTTGGCAGCCTGGTGAAGTCTCTATAGACACCCTTCTCAGATTGTAAATGCACAAAATAAAATATAAAAATTACAAAGGAAACCAATTATGTCGAAATACAATTTTAAAAATAATAAAACAAATTTGTAACATAGTAATACTTCTTTATTTACACATTAAGTAAGATCCAACAGCAAGTGTAATAACTACCATAATTTTGAAGCTAGTGATGGGTATGATATTGAGGTATCTGCAGCCTACTACATGAAAATATGATTTCACAGATATTGCTGATACTGTGGTTTGTTTCCCTCAGTCTTAACTGAAATATTAAATTTCAGTTGTGGCTAAAGATAAAATTTGTTTCCCATTCCTGTCCACAGAACTCTTACTGGGAATCTACTGACCCTAGGTTAAGAACTCCTAAGTCCAGTCCAAAGTGCCTAAGCGCAGAGCTTCTTCCTACCGCTAAAAGCCTCAGCTGTCGGAACCAGGCAACTGCCCAGTGCCATACCCAGAGGGGATGAGGACTATAGGAAGAGGTAGCTGTGGGGGTCAGGGAGGCAAGACCCCTTCTTTATCTGAATAATTATCCCAATGGAGATTTAGAAGCCCCACTGATCCCTTTGTCTATTTAATGCTCTAACGTATATAGGAAAGGTTAAGTTAGCTATGCCTGAAAGGGCAGAGTATACATAAAATACTATACAATTGTTTCTAATATCAAGGGGTCACAGAAGTTAATACCTTTAGCAACTAGGTGGATAACTTAATGAGAGTGAACAGGTGATACACAAAGAAGACAACTGCCAAATAAGTTTCAGTTTCACCATTTGAGAGAGGCCAATGCCTGGTATTCTCCAGGTATGGAGAATAGAGACAAATGATAATCAGTTCTACTCGATTATTGCCATGCAGGAATAAGATATTGGTGTTGCCAGATCCTTTTTTTTTTTTTAATGGAAAGCTCCAAAGTGGATTTTTAATGACACCTTTCCTATTTTTGGAAGGTGGTCATCTAATTCAAAAAGAAATTTTTAATTGTGTTGGCTAAATAAAATACATCTGCAGTAACTTTGTGCACCAGTTTGTGAACTTCTGATTATTCTGGGAGCATTTTGCAGGGGCTATGCACAAAACAGGCAGTCACTAAATACTTACAAATGATGGCAAAAAAACTCTGCATATAGGCAAACTTCAATTCCCTTATGGCATCCAAAGGCAAGGGTACTAAATGGTGTAAGGACTTCAAATGCAGAACAAGAATAAATCTGTCCTGCTCCTGGGGCAAATCAGAGAGCAAAGAACTTCCAGTCTCAGGGAGGATACAGAGTTCAAGTATGGAGGGAGAACCTAATCTACAACAAGGGCCAAGTTCTCTTTAGAGGATTTTATTTCAAGATAAAGCATAACTTCCATCCTGACAATGATTCCAAAGGGTGAAAAAGGTGTCTTGCCTCCTTTCACCTTTCAAATAGAGCATGGCAGTGCAAACGTCTCCAAAACACCTCTGCATAGTTCTCAGTAGCTACAGTCCAGTCATAGAAAATGCTTCTCCATTTTCAACTGACATGAGATTTGTTAGGAAATCTCTGTAACAATTTATTCAGTTTCTTGGGGGGTAAATCCCCAAATTCTCCTGTGTCCTGGATTGATTGCATCTTTCGGGCTCTCTGAAAAGACAGAACAAAAACAAAAATGACAGCTCTACAGTTTATCCTGACCTAGGCCAAAAGTTCTCACAATGCCACAAAGCACATTAATATATTAACCAGCCTGGAAATATCGGTTTCATCTACCCAATCCCCTTTCAAAAGGGACGTGAAACCTAAAGATGACTGGATGACCCGACGCTACCATGCGAGCTTGCAATTAATTTTAGGCTAAAATCCAAATAGCCTGCCCTTCACTATCTTTAGCTCTATTTCAGACAATAATGTCTATTTGAGCAGCACTTTAAATTTTACAAAATGATTTTCCCATTCATTCGTTCATTTAACACTCACAACATTCTGTAAGGTGGGTATTAATATTAACCTCCTTTTACATCTGGTATAGCTAAAGCTTAGAGCAGTGAAACAAATCGCTCAAAATCATAATGCCTTCAAAACAACTTTTTCCACTTTGGCGTAAGTGAAATCGCTCCCACAACTTTCCTCGCCTTTTTAAAATGAGAAGGACTTCCTATCACCTACCAAGAGGCAAGGAGAACAATTACTTGTATCCCCGCCCCATTCTCCTCCCAAGAGGGCACCCTAAGGGCCTTCTGTCACCTCAGCCCTCGAAGCACAATCGAAGAAATCCTGGATCTCTTTTCTGCACGCTTCGTCGCGGAATTCATTCTGCTTCCAACACGCCATCATCAACGACATCTCTGTAATACAAGTCGCCTCTGGAGGAGCAGAACGAGAACCCTCAGTCACAAGGAAACCCTTACCTTAAGCCCTCCCACCCAGTCGCCCCGTACATCCCTCCAGCTTCCGCTCTGGAGCCTCCCTGGCTCCGACTGCTCACCGCCCTTCTCCCGGCGTCGTTCCCCAACACGGTTAGCTAGGATGAGGGGCTTGTTGGGCTTCAATATAGGCTTCCGCGGGTTTCCTAGCCGCGGTAGGCGACCGCGCAGGCTGGGCGTCGCCATTGCGCACCGAACTCCCGGCAGGCTCTGCGTCTCCGTGCGTGACCCTGCGTGACCCCTACGAGCTCGACGAGTCTGGGAGCGCAACCTGCGGGAAGCTTGGAGGCCCTGCTTGCTCTCTTGGTCCTGTAGGCCCGATGAGGGGATCCAACATCGGTTGTTCAAGACCCGTGTGCAGGTTAGGAGGAGAGTTTTGGAGGCTCGTCCGCTGACCGAGACCGTTCTTTTGTGGGCTCCGGGCCCTGAGGTCTCCGGGCGGTATTAGGCCGGGAATATGCAGGAAAGGACCCGATAAATAGGACACTCGTTTATGGTGGTAGCTGGCTGAACTAGAGGATGATTGACATAGGCAAGGGCAGAGTATGGGAGCGAATCAAAATATGAGACTTTAAGATATTAGGTTGGGACAGATTCTTACTATATTTTGACGAGTCTTCAAGAACTGTTGGATTTTACTACCTTTTAAAACCCCCCCAAAACCGTAAAGAAAAGTTGGGCTCATTTAAACAGTTGCTAGTACTGGGGCACCTGGTGGCGCAGTCAGTTAAGCGTCCCACTCTTGATCTCAGCTCAGGTCTTGAACTGCGGGTTTTGAGTTCAAGCCCTGCACTGGGCTCCACGATGGGTGTGGAGCCTACTTAAATAGGTAAAAATAAAGTTGCTACTATTTATATGTTCTACTATATATTCTTTGCTCTCCTTTGTAATGATCTCATTGGGTAGGGTGAGTTTTAAGCACTTTGGCATTTATCGTCTAATTTAATCCTCTCTCCAATCCTGTGAAGATACTTGGTGGTATCATTAATAGACTTGACCCTTCAGTTGTGATGCCTAGCTTCATCAGACTTGGTTCTAAGTGTCTTTTAGCTGTTTACAAAACTCAAAGATGTGCCAGGATTCTCAGGGCATTTAGAAATGAGCTTCAAGAAATGTTTCTGGTAATGGAAGCAAAACTTGAACAGCTTTTAGTTCATAAGAGGACTACTTTGGAGGAGCAATATTTATTTGGTTATGTAAATTTTAGTGTGCTAAAATTAAAATCATTTATCACAGATGTTTAATCTTCCCATTGGATCTCTGCATGACTGGTTCTTTTTCTTCTGTTGAGTCTCAGTTCCTGTCAGAGAGGCCTTCCCTTACGTCCCCCATCCCCCCACCATCAAGCTGTTACATTTTTTTCATAGCACATATCACAGTCTGAATTACCTTGTTCATTTATTGTTTATTTACAGCCTTCCTTACCAGCGACACCCATTTAAAAAATGTAAGCACCATTAGAGAGGGGACCCTGTCTTACTGAACCCCAGTGCCTAGAACAGTGACAATAAATACTTGTTAAATAAGCAAATGTTTTGACATATTTTTCCAAGCCTCCAAGTGTATCATACTCAGCCCAAAAATATAACCAAGCAGAAGACTCTTTTTAAAAAGTTATTTATTATACAAAATGAAACCTGAGAAAATAGAAAATTGCAACACATGGAGTAATAAATGCATCAGTCTCATGCTCCACCGCCACCCCAGCAGTACAAATAAAACTGATTCCTAATCAGACACTTCTACCACCAATAATCTTGAGCCTGTTGCTGTTTACAGAGCAAGCGGGGCCCAAACCAGAGAAAATTCACATTGTTTGCTTTCTCTTCATACTGGTTCTGCTTTCTCTTGTGGAAATGTAGCATCTGGTTTACCGTGCTCTTTTATGAATACTTTTATGGTGATAGGATTAAAGGAGAAAGTCTGGGAAGCACTGTCCACAAAGCAGGCATGAGTCTCCAGCCACAATCATTCATAAACAACTGGCCCACTTTGTACATAAAAGTGCTAAAGGAATGCCAATGTGAACTGCTGTAATTAGGAGAGGTAAGGATGATTATACACTTTGCACTTACCCTTTTTATTGCACATAATGAAACTTGATTCCTAACCTTATTTTGCACTTGAGTAATATGTATTTTGCACTATAAATCAGCACCTGCATTTAAATAGACTGCAAGTTGAGAAATCGGAGTCCTGAGTTTGACTTTTTGTGGGTTACTACTATTTTAATATAAGTATGTTTGAAGGTCTATATTCCCCTCTTGTTTTTTTCTGTACAAGCCCAAACAGGTTAAGTAAACTTTTTTTTTTTTTTAAGATTTTATTTATTTATCTGACAGAGACACAGTGAGAGAGGGAACACAAGCAGGGGGAGTGGGAGAGGGAGAAGCAGGCTTCCCGCGGAGCAGGAAGCCCGATGTGGGGCTCGATCCCAGGACCCTGGGATCATGACCTGAGCTGAAGGCAGACGCTTAAGGAATGAGCCACCCAGGTGCCCCAACTTTTTTTTTTTTTTTTAAGATTTTATTTATTTATTTGACAGACACAGTGAGAGAGGGAACACAAGCAGGGGGAGTGGGAGAGGGAGAGGCAGGCTTCCCACTGAGCAGGGAGCCCGATGCGGGGCTCGATCCCAGGACCCTGGGATCATGACTTGAGCCGAAGGCAGACGCTTAATGACTGAGCCACCCAGGCACCCCTAAGCAAACTTTCCATGCTGGTGTGAAGGGTATTTTTTACTAAAAAATAAAATGGAAAAAGAACCACAATGGCAATGAAATCCAGCCCAAATTACAGCTCTCCTTGGCCATATCCTTAGATGTCACAATATTAAGGGTGGGACCCATCTAACATACGTACATACATACACATACATACACACACATACATCTGGTTGTAAATTAGTGTGTGTATATGTATGTAAAAGTACATAATTACAAACAGATAAACTGATAAGCTATGGAACTTCTCTAGTGATAATTCATTAATACTACATTACAACCAGAGTAGCACTAAGGTCCAAAGTATTCTTTTTTGTTCCACTGGCCCAGAAAAAGCTAACGGTCTCCCTGCCCATTAAGCTTTATTTTCAAACCACAGCAATAAAAGGGTTTGGCTGTACCCCAAAATCGCCTAACAGCTTTTTATTTAGCCAGCCACTTGTGGCTATCTCTTGCCTCACCTCCCCCTGAGGTTAGGACCTTAGGTGGGTTCCATCAAAATGTAGTCTCAGTAAGTACTATAAAGTTGTACAGACGGATATTGGTAATAGAATGAAGTTGGAATATTCATTCCACATAAAGTGAAAAATGCTACATAATATGAGGTAATTGCTACAACTATATTGCTGGGCTGTTTTTTCCAACATAATCTTCATGACTCTTTGGGAAAAATGAGACTTAGAATTGTAGCATATAAAAACAATAAAATAGAGAGTTCATTAGGCAAACAGAAAAGACTAAAGACCTATAAAAATCTGCAGTTTGATTTGCACTGATCTATTTTAACATTTCAAAATCATTTAAATATTCATATATATATATATATATATATATACATGAATGATATATATATACTCTGTCATCATTTACAGCCTTAATCTCTAACCTCAAATAGAGCAGGACAATTCATTAAATTGACAAGGCATATATTAGCCATTGAGTCTTTCTGTTCATGAGAAGGAATTCCAGATATGCTCTTAAAAAAAAAAAAAGCAAACCAGCAATAAAAAAAGCTGTCAAATCTATAGCCAGTTTAATGCAGGGGAGAATGAATGTGGGGATGGTGGCAAAGGCTACTGCATCTTCATCAGATACAGTGGACAACCAGGAAAGAAAAATCCATTTAAAATAAAAAGTTTGACATCAAAGGCAAGTAAATGATATTAAAAAATACAACTCCAAGAACCAGAATACAACCCACCAGGAGTTTTGCTTCACCACCAACATAACAGTTTATAAAGCAGGAGACGAGGAAAAGAGATTAGGAAAGGTACTGAATAATGAAGAATTTAAGGAATAGCATCGAAGTTTTAAGACCATAAACCTGACCCATCTTACCTCATTCTTAGACAAGTACCAAGGTGTTGTTCCAATCACAGTTGAGAGGATGAAATGGCTAGAAAAAGATGCAGATCTTTTAAAATTCTGTTCGATCAGCACTTTGAAACAAGTGGGTGTTTCAGGCTTTTGCTTCCCACTAATCCCAAGAACTGGAGGCTTCCATCTCTCCTTGAGGACAGGCCCTATTACCACAAGCTGAGACACTGGGTACACATCATTAAGATAAAATATCAGTGGCTGTAACTGGAATTCCTTGAACTCATGATAAGACAGTGTTCATTAAGGTTGTGCAGCAGATGCCCCTCATGTCCCATAGTAGAATAAGGACTTCCATCTCCTAGCTCTGCCACGTTAAAGGCTCTTGCAAGGGTAATTAGAGATTTTGGTTCCTTTTCATGAAGATCTCATGTAGGTAATCCCAAAATTTCATCTGCTTTGTCTCATTGTTGTGGATCATGGCAGTGAGAGCTTCCCCCTGGTCCAGACCTTGCCAATAATCTTGCAGCCACATCTCCTTCCAGCTGAAACATCAAAATGGGAGTTGGATTATGGAACCTCTGCACAGCTATGAGTCCTGCCTTCTCTGAATGGGGTCAAAGAAATCTTAAGCAGATCCAGTAGTCTCTGTCTGGGACAGGGCTCTGCTTTGAAGGGAAGGAAATGTGAAATAAATCTAGTAGTGGTACAAGTGACAGTAAGCTGCAAACACGTTATCTGTCACACAGCCCACCCCCAGTGAGTTACACTTCCTGTCGTGCCCACTCCGGGTTCCCAAATGTGGAAGGAGTTCAGGGGAAGGCAGGGCAAGGGCCACACTATGGAACCAGAAGTCTCTGTAAGAAAAGCCAGGGAGCCTCTTTAGATGGTTACCTTGTAAGTTGCACCTTTATTTCAATAATCAAAATGAAGGTGCAATGCTGTCCAATGTCTAGATAAAACATATATTCTTTTTTTAATGTTTTACACTTTTCTTCTACTAAATCATAATACTATGTTCAGCATAAACCAGATACAAATTACTTGATGGAGGACTCCATTCCCAGAACCAAACTGTGTCCGCAGTGTATATAAACAGCCCTCTGCTGCCATCCACTGTGCAAGTTGGTCTCTGCAGGCCATTCTAACAGTCTTTGCTTTCTTAAGCTGAATAATCTTTTTTATCACCTCTCCCTGAAAAGATGTGGTTTGCTGCAAGTGTCTTCAACATTTTCCCACCTCCCATGCTGACCTTGTTTCCCAGTGCACCACCTTCTGCCACTTACTGCAGCAGCTTCCTCACTTCTCTTCCAATTCACACTGCCCACCATTGTTCATTATTATCCATTGAAAGCAGTCCTATCTTGTTTAGAGCGGATGTATATAATTTATCATCCAAATCAGGGTACTTTTGAGAGTGAAAGGAGGTACTATTAGTAATTATGCCAGGTTAACAGATGTAAACCCTACTGCAGACAAACCTCTCTCAAAATACCCATCTTTGTATTGCTCTTCCCCACCCCACCCTTTAGAAGGTGCTAAATAAACACCTGAGTTGATTTTCAGGAGAGTCCAACTTCTGAGCCTGGTATTCAGGCTATGTATAGCCTGGCCCCAGTTTATCTGCCCAACTTTGTCTCTCATCACTTCCGCTGAACAGGCCCCTCTGCCCTGGTTGAAGCCTTTTCTGAATCACTATTGCAAACACTGCTCACATAAGCTGATCTTCATGTTGTTGCCTTGAATTATATTTTGCATCTTTTACTGAGCTTTTTCAGTTTGTCCTGTCTCCCCCAACTAGACTCTTGACACCTTAAAGGCAGGGTAAGCCCATGTCATCACTTCCTTATACAACAATCCCCTCAGCACCTAGTATTAGTTCACTGCCCACAGCAAGCAAGTCAGTCATTTGATTTGATGGCCACAGGGACCCCGGCTATCCTTACCTGTCATTCTCAGGAATCTCTTCCACACTGCCAAAGCCAGGTGTGGGCACCGGGCAGTCCATGTGTGAGGGCTGGGCAATGTGAGGTTCAGGGCCAGGGATGTCCCCAGGAGAGGCTGCGTGGGCTTTCTCGGCCTCCAGCCGAGCCAGTTCATGGTCACAGACGAAACACTCGAAACCATTGAGGTAGTTAGGCAGCAAAGGATCATTCACTCCCCACTCCCGATGCTTCAGACTATCCAGAAGGAACTGGTTGGTGATGCCCCCACGTTGCTTATATGCCAAGTATTTCATGTATTCCTCATCATTCTTGTCCAGAAAGTCAATAAATTCTGCCAGCTTCTGAGGTGACTCAAAGTCATCAATGAGGATGATGGAGTGATTGTTGGGCATCCAGTCCCTCACAGAGGGAGAGCCGCGATACACAGGCACAGCCCCGAGATGCATGGGGCGCCACAGTTTTTCTGTCATGTAGTCATCACAGATGGCATTTTCGAGGGCCAAGTGGAACTTATAGCGAGACAAGAAGGCCAAGAGCTCTGGATCCTCGGTGGTAGCTGTGGCTGTGTCCTGTAACCGCGGAGTGGGCAGCTCCCGATTTTGCAGGCATTTCCCATAGGAGTCCACCTGAGCGGGATAGAGTACAGCCGTCAAGTGGGTGCTGCATGTCGGCCTGGACGCCAAGGGTCCTGGCCTCAGCCGCACGCGCCCCCTGGCCGCCCCACCCCAGCCCCGTCCCGGCCCCACCCACCGGGATGAAGCGCATCAGCTCGCGCACGTAACGGTCCCGGTCCGCAGGCACGTCGCAGTGGGACTGCAGATAGAGCAGCGGCGCGTAGCCGCGCCGGCGCCACTCCGCGCGCTCCTGTAGCGGAGGCGCGGCGCGGCGCAGGTAGGCGGTCCCGGGTAGCCACTGCAGCGGCAGCGGGTAGTCAGAATGACGGCTGAAGGTGGCAGTGAGATTGAAGAGGCGGATGCCCGGACCGTGGCTCAGCACGAAGTTGTTGAGGGGCGACTCCTCGTGCAGGAGCGCCCAGCTCTGATGTGCCAGGCGCGGTAGCGGCGCCTCAGACGCGCGAAAGTCAGTGCCGTAGAAGAGCAGCGCGCGCGTCCGTGAGTGCCCCCGCACCCGTCGGTCCCGGGACGCCACGCACGCACCGCGCGCGCACTCGATGCGCTCCGAGTCGCCCGGGAAGTGGGGAAATAGCCCTGGGCTCCACCACAACAGCACGGGCAAGTCCACTGCCTCCTCCCTCCCTGGCCGCGGGGTCCCCGGACTGCGCGCCACCCCCACCGCGCCCAGCGCTGAGGGCGGCCGGAAAACCGCACCATCCCAAGGCTCCGTCCACTCCGCCTCCCCGCCAGTCTCCCCCTCAGCCACGGGCCCAGAGCCGCTGACGGCACAAACACTAAGCACTCCAAAAACGGCAAACACAGCCCTGCTGCGGCCCGCCGCCATGTCCACTGGCAGCTGCCCCCTTCCTCCCCCCGCCCCCAACTCCTCCCGGCAGCACCAGACCCCACCCCGCCGTCAGTCGGGACGGAGGAGGTCCTACGCCCGCGGTGCGTGTGACGCATGCGCAGTTCTGCTCAGCCGGCCACTTCCTAGGGAAGTGCTAGGCCTAGCAGGAATGAATGGAGGGAACAACGGTAAATCACAAATAAAAATGAAGCTAATTGTTACATCTTATTTTATTTCTTTACAAATTAAAGATGCATTGAAAAATAAACCAATGAAGATAAATGAGAGGTCCAGAGCAGGGGAATCCCAGGCTGGGAGCAGACAAGCCTGGCCACCATCAAGCCTAGCCCTTGTCCTGCCCCAGCCAGTTCAGGTTGGAAGATAACTTGTCAGCCACTCTGTCAATACCAAAGCTCGAGTGGTGTCCCGGCAGGAGAGAACAGAGCTCCAGCCGCCTCTGCCTCTCTCCCCAACAACTCCCACCTTGGAGAAGCAGTGTTTCCAGTGGGAGCTCAGAGTGGGATAGGGGCTGGCTCTGTGAGGTATTGCAAGTTGATGACCAGGCTCCCTACACAACCATCCAGTGTTGGAGCCTCTCCAGCTGGAAAAGAGGCTGGTACCTCTCCCAGGTCCTAATATTCTTTGCAACTCATTTCCCAGGCTCATTCATCTCTGATAATGTGCCTCTATCCATTGAGTGATCACTGATCATTGCAGGAGAGAGAAAAGCTAATCAACCACTCTCCCTAACTTTGACTTGGTTGCTGACTTCCAGGCCCAAGAAGGACTGACCAACCACTTCTCTCTCCACCATCTATGGTCTATACCCCAGCTCTTGTGCACCTGTATGTTTTATCCCTAATATAGGAAGTTGTTGATGACACTGAGCTGAATTAGCCCCTCTCCCCCATGGTAACCCTGGGATTCCCACTCCTTCCTGCCTGCCCCTCTCTTCTTGGAGGCTGGTCCAAGGGGACACATAATATTGCCAGAGTCTGGGTGCCTCCAAATCCCCCAACACCGAATCATATACAGTGAACTGAGAAACTACATTCATTACGACAGGATTAGCAGGAAAAGGAGGGTAATGTGAGGGGATAGGGGCACCTTTCATCAGCAGGACATGACAGAGTGGTAGGATACTTGATCCCAGAAAGGTGTCTCCTTGTACCTCCCCCTCCCCCCAAAGAGACTGAGGTCAGCTAACGACTTAGATATGGAACTGTTCCAATTTCTCTGCCATCCTGGGGTACTTTCTGGAAGCTGGCCTGGCACCCTATGCCATTTACCCACTTGCTCTAGCTCAGTAGCTGCCGAATTTCCTTGTGCATATGACACAGAAAGTCCACATAGGATGCTCCCCCGCTCAAGCTCTTGTCTTCCACCAGGAAGTGCTTGAACAGCATCTCCAGCTTGTCCTCCTGTTTCACCACGATAAGCTATGGCCAGAAAATAGTGTCATGAGGCAGGGATTAAACATGCCCTAAAATCCCATTGTCCAATCACTTATTCTCATCCCCCTTTCCAGGAGAGGACAAGGCTAAGAAATCCAGGGTTTAGATCAGTGTTACCTTCATGTACCGTGATCTCTGTGCCCTTAAGCTATCAATGAGGCCTCGCACCTTCTTGGACAGCGGATTATCCAGAACCGGCAGAACACTCTGCAACACAAAATTCATTTATCCTTATGGTAAGATACTCTGAGTCCAGTAAAAAAATGGGCCAGCACAGATTTATTCATCATCTGAAATAAGCCCGGGAATAATGACAGCACCCTCCCTCCTTTCCAAATGTTCCCTGCTATTAAAGGGGACTAGCACACAAACTTTATTGGTTCCCACTCATATCACAAAATGCATTTCCACACCCATATTCCCCTTGACTCCCTGCCCTCACCAAGCCACTGGTGATCTGACTGAAGGAGGAGACACTGAAGAGGCTCTGGACAACACCCTGTTGGACACTTGCTCCCACCCACAGGAAAAGGTTGAGCCCATTCTCCAGCAAATATATATCCCCATTGCTTAGACGTTCTTCAGATGCTCGAACTGCTGGTGGTTCAGTGGCACTCTCAATGGGAGACTTTGTCTAGGCAAAAGAAAGGGGGCAAAAGGTTATTTACCAAAGACTGTAAGACACATCTGCACGCCGCCCCCCAACGAAATTTCAGAGAGCTCAATCTCTCAGTGACTTTTACAGTGTGAAAATTACATCAGATAATGCAGGTTAAAAACAAATTCACTAGTGTCAGACACAGATAATATTAACCCTTCCCTTCCTCCTATGATACCCTTTTCTCAGCACACAATGTCTCATCCAGCCCTCAGTCGCACCAATGGTAGAAGCCGAGGATAAAAGAAGACATTGGTCTCAGCCACATCCATGGAAGTAACCAGCTGTCGGACATAGGCACGGTCATCAGTAGTAACTTCAGCTCCAGGCTGCAAGACGTCACTCTTCAACACACAGTTCAGGTAAACTGGGAGTAGCTTCATGCACTCAGGAAGGATCAACTGCAGGGGTTACCAAAATAAAGTGAATGATCATGAGCAATCTCTCCCAAATGCAAACATGTGTCCCAACAATTCCTCCAGTGCTTGCCCACCTGTCCCGCAGAGGAGGGGCTGGCACAGTTCTTTCTGTAACAGGCCAGGATCTGGGCGCACTGAGTGATGAGAGTATCACGGACAGTCTTCACGGGGCTATTGAGCACCCCCCGGTATGCTGGATGGGAAAGGGAGACAGCACAGTCACTGGCTGGCCACCCCACTGACCTGCTTTGCTGCCACCACACCTACCTGGGAATGCTGAATCACTGACAACCACCTTTCAGCCCCAATCCCACTTCGCCCTGCCTCTACCCTCACCAAACTTGGCCATGTAGTTGATGAGCGTGTCAGTCTCACAGTTTCGATACAGATCAGCCAGCTGGGTGCAGCAGTTCAGGGCCAGATTGTGGATGCGGAGCCGTCGCTGCCCTGCACAGCTGGTGTAGAGCAGGGCACACTAGGGGAAGGGAGAAAGGGAGAACTCATACCCCTCCCTCCCCAAAGCCCTCTGAAAAACTGCTCCTTTGCCGTATTATTAAGCTAGAAGAAAGACAGGAGCCATCCCTTCCCTGGCCTCTTCCAGTCCTCTCCACCTACCTCCTACCCTCTTCCCTGCAGCCTATTTATATCCAGTACAATGATATTTGACACTTCTTCCCCAGCCCCCGCCTCCCGCCTGCTACCTGCAGGAGGGCTCCACTCTCCTCATTGAGCCGATCGTCATGCTTGAACTCCACAGTCACTGTCTTGTCCCCATCCAGCCCAGCTAGCTCCACATCTGTTGTGTTGCTCATGTAGAAAGCCCCGAAGAAATCTACAGCACGGATACCTGAGGCCACATGGATAAGGTCAGGGCTACAGATATTACAGGTGCCACTTGCCTCCCTCCCGGGTTTAGTCCCCAACCTGCTCTTCTCCAACCAGGACTGACCGGTGCTTGTCCGAACGCGCATCACAGCATCAAAGCCAACAACCTTCTGGACATCCCGACGCAGGTCACTCAGGAACCGTTCCTGGTCATTCTCCACCTGCAGCCCCCCAGGGCCAGAGTCACATCACTGACTACATAACAACCTGGTGACTATCTCCCTGCATCCCCTCCATTCTACAAGCTGCTGAGTCATAATAACAATAACAGTGAAGATAATAATAATGATAATGACAATGATAGCTTTTAAGCATTTACTATGTGCCAAGTACCACATTAAGTACTTTACATATAACGACTTGATCCTGATGAAAAATCTTAATTAAGAAATATTAAATTCCCATTTTACAGATGAAGAAACAAAGAAGCAATAATTGAGTAATTTCTCCTAGGTCATATTGCTAGTATTCTGGGAGGGCCAGAATAACAACCCAAAACTGATTACAAGCTCCATGCTCCTAACCACTACCCTTATGGCTCTCTTCTTTATGTTATACGGTTTTTTCCTCCACCAGGATTCCTATTAATGAGTCAGCAGCTAAAGAGCTGCTCTGCATGTAGGCAGACATTCTAGTCCTGTTTCCACCTGCCACCCAGAGTCCCATGCCCTACCTGAAAGCAAGCATATTTGTAGACAGAGCCACCAGTGAGCTGGGGTACAACAGAGAGTGTGGCCACATCCACATACTGGTTAGGGAAGAGGAAGAGATCTACACAGCAGCCTTGGGCCACACACTCTTTGGCCAGGGTCTGATAGGCACCTGTCTGAGGCTGGAACAGAGTCTGGGGAAGAACAGAATAAAACATTCAAATAGCTCAGCTCTACCCTACTTGAGAACTATATATTTAATATGGGATATTCAAATATATGTAAGACTTCAGATCTACTTCATAGATATTTGCAACAGTAGTAGAACATTCTCTAAAAAAAAAAAAAATCTGTCCCGGGCTTTGGGATGAAATGGGGTAGAGATGTGTGGGAGCACTGGAGAAAGCTGGCAGTCATGGACTTGACACGTGAAAGAGCAGAGTGTCTAGTCCCAGTACCTCTTCAAGCAAGTTAAGAGTATTGCATTGCATTGCAAGAATCACCACCTTCCTCTGTCATGGAAAGTCCTCCCCCCATCTCCCAAACCCACACCTTCTCCTTGTCTGTGTTGATCAACTTCCTGTCGTCTCTGTTCTTCAGTTTCCCTGGGGCCTCTGCAATGGGCAGGGAGGTATGGAACAGAAACAGCTTCCCTGCACACTCAGCAGCCTAGGAAAGAGAGGACTACTTGTTCATTCTTTCCTTTATTCAGCTATTATTCATTCAACCCTTCCCTCGTCATTTATTCAGTGTCAGTTATGTCAGATATGCTGACTCACTGGACAGTCTTCAATCACTAAAGAAAGAGGAGTTATATCCCAGGGTATAAGACGGTCAGAGGAAAGTGAGGCAGAGGAAGTTGTCAGGGTTCTAGCCGTACCTTTAGAGCCTCCATCCCAGCCTGGATAACTGGGGCAAATACTGTCTCTGTCTCCCTCGTGTCT